ACAGCCCCCTCCCTCTTTAGTGCGCGTGGTCAACGGTCTAACAACCAAGGCATGCAAAACATGACTACTCCCCCCCGTTTCTAGAGCCTGGTCCGGTGAGAACCCGTCGTGCTCCGTCCCGGCTTGGTAGGGATGTGAGGTCAATGGTCTAACGACTGCGGCATGCACGACTTTGAGTATATGAGTACACCCCCCAGTTTCTTAATGCTAGGTATATTATACCCCTCGTGTCGTTTCTTGTTCGTGAACAACGCAGGCGGTGGCCAGGTCCATCGAGGGGCGTAAGAAGAGGGGTCTGATGACGGCGGCGGCCTTCGGGTACAGCCAAGGGATGATGTTCTGGGTGTTCGCGATCATCTTCTACGTGGGCGCCGTCCTGATCGACAACGGCACCATCACCTTCCTTGCCTTCTTCCAGGCCTTCTTCGCTGTTTTCCTCGGGGCCTTCGGAGTCGGACAGGTCCCAAAAAAAAACACACGCGCGCACACTGTGTCCTCCCTGTTGGTAGAATCCATTCCCTTGGATTGGAAAGTGTTCGGTACAAGACTTGTGTCTTCCCATTGGTCAGCTGGTACGCACGGGCGGATGCTAGGCACTACTGTAGGAGAAATTTTTCTGTGTTGAGCCGTGCTGAGACTTTGGTTTCTTCATTGGTCAGCGCGGTCGTTGGCAATGATGAAAATGACTCACAAAAATACACACACACGACTGCTGTGGAAATAGAGACGGCTCGAAGAACAGTCACGGGGAAAATGACCGTCATATAGCGCAAAGCGAACTCGGATAGAAACCAACCACGTACAGGGCAATGATGCTAGCATAGTAGAACAAGACAACGCTGCTGCCTAGCAGAGTCTTGAGTCTTCTTGTCCTTGTACTTGCACTTGTTCAGCAGAAGCAGGACACTTCGTTGTCCAACTCCTGCCCCCCCCCCTACCTCCAGTTGTTAGTTTTTCTTGTTTTTTTCTTTCCTGCGCCTCGTCACGGACGAAAACCCGAACCAACCTCGTATTTGCCCCTTGTTGGATTCCCACTTATAGAGCCGCTGTATGCCACCTACTTGTTGTTATTGTTGTTATTCTTTTAACATTAATAACCGTTCCGATCTCTTCGCCCAATGCCTTCATCAGTCCGTACTGAAATATATGTAATATTATAATGTTCTCTTCACATTTGAAATTGTTCCCATCTCTTCGCCCAATGCCTTCATCAGTCCGTACTGAAATATATGTAATATTATAATGTTATCTTCACATTTGAAATTGTTCCCATCTCTTCGCCCAATGCCTTCATCAGTCCGAACTGCATATCATCTACAAAAATGAGTCATGACTACCAAATGGTACAGCGGTACATGTAGTTCTAACGGACGCAACCATTCTTTTGTGGCCCTCCTGCCCCCCTCCCACCCTCTGCCTCTTCATTCTGACGGACGCACCCATTTGTTCTGGCCCTTCTTTCCGCTCCCACCTTGCCACCATAAACAGATCCAGAGCGAAATCGGAGCAGCCAACGCGGCGCGGCACGCTGCCGGCAGAATCTTCTTCCTCGACGATGAGGACCTGCTCATCGACCCGCTAGGCGAGGGCGGTGCTAAGGGCCCCTCTGGTGGCTGCGCCGTGAAGTTCAAGGGCATCAAGTTCGCGTACCCTCAGCGTCCGGACGCGCAGGTATGGCCGTACATGTAGTAATGTCGTTTTTAATGCCGGTTGCGGTTGCCCTGTAGACGAAAACAGTCGGTGAAATCGTCTGGATGGTGTTTTTGATGTGTCATGTTCATTTGGCGTGTGGTGTAAAGCACCTCGTGCACCTTGAAAAGTACGGGAGGGTGTTGGTTTTAATCGTCGATTTGTGTTCGTCATGTTCATTACTTGCTTGGTTTGGGGGCGACTCTTGTGCTGCCCTTGTGATGTTTGGAGGTTGTTTGGAGATGGGTGCCCAGAAGTAGCGTCGGATGGAGATTCTTGCCCACGTGTGTGGGACGGTACGGATGCAAACGAAAACGGGTGTTTGAATATTTTGTGTATCTGACGCTCACCTGCGCAGGTATACGGGTCGGAGAAATTCCCGGGTGGCTTCAACCTGGATGTCGGCGCGGGGGAGACACTGGCTCTAGTCGGGCCTTCGGGGAGCGGGAAGTCCACCTGCATACAGTTGCTCCTCAGGTACTACTGTTTGGTTGTAAACAACGGCGCCTAACCGTGGTACATGCTGATATCGTGGTCCACACCACCGTTATGAATGTGGTCTTGAACCATACTTACTTGTTCCGTGCGAGCGTGGTTTATGTTGTGACGGGTTTCGTGTCCGCGCTCGTGGTACGCTATACCGTGAGAGCGTGGTCTTGATGCCATGGTGGTTCTGTGCGACCCCGTGGTACGCTTTAAACCGCCGTGGTGACGTATTGGATGTGGTGGTCTGAGGTCACTCGATCATATACCGTGAGAGCCTGGATCATGCCGTGACCTACGTGCATTGTTGTTCGCGCCCGTGGTACGCTATAAACCGCCAGAGCGTGGTTCATGCCGTGATACTTTTCATGTCTATTCATGTCCATTTCCGTGGTACGCTATGTACACCGTGAGAGCATGGTTCATACCGCCGTTATTTTTTTCATATCCACGCCTGTGTGGTACGCTGTGTGCCATGAGAGGGTCCGTGAGTTATGGCGTCCACGCCCGTGGTACGCTGCTGTGGTGACGGTTCACGTTTTGGTACGCATGTGGAGAGGTGGATATCGTGATGCGTTCCAGACCATGGTACGCACCATGGTGCACTCCTGTACGGAAGCTCCCTTCCAGTACATGGTGCCTACGACTTGGTCGAACGTGGGCATCTACTTGTCGAAATACCTTTTCTCGGAACATTCCTTGGGTAGGTGCAGCTCGTGCTATGTAGCTTTCCCCGCTCTTGGGCCGCAGCATTGCTTACACCTGCAGTGATCTAGCCCTTACCCCCTCCGGCTTACTACAGTGGGTGGCCCGATATAGTGCCGGTTGAATAGTGCCGGTTTCCGGTATAGTGCCGGTGTTTTCGGCTCGCACACATTGGAATACCAAGTCGTTCTGTACTTTGAAAAGTGCCGGTGTCCGGTATAGTGCCGGTGAAATATCTCTGCACATACCGGCACTATATCGGGCCACCCACTGTACGTACATTGACCTGCAACAGCGGTTACCAATGCACCATGCAGCTTTGGGTCGGGTTGTTGGGGTTGGGGCCATAGGACGGCTGTAGTCTCGGAACGGTGCATAAAACTCTACAACCAGCCCGGGTTCGAGCCAGGAATCAGTACAAATTTGAAAGGAAGGGCTGCATCGATCGGTGTAAGTATCCTCCTCCGTCGCCTTTCACGTTCCTCGGGATAATATGATAGGATGTATATGGTGTACCACGACCCATTAACTACCCAGCTGTTGGCTGTGCCGCGTCCCGCGTCTTGTTCGTGCTGCTGTCGTTTTTCAATATCGCTTGTTATCTCGATCTCTTGGTTTTGCCCTTCTGGTTCGTCATTTTCTCGCGTTTCTTTTTTTCTATGTAGATATATTGCGCCCGAAAACAAAAAAGGTAAAACATGACACACAAGAGGGTATACACTGGTCGAGAAGCGACACACCTGGGTACACAGTCATCAACAGCAGTACATGCACTTTTATCATTGGTCAGCGCTCAATTTCACCCCGGTGCGTCCGAAAAGGCGCAGGGTATACCCTGCCGTGACTACTTTTCTCAACAACTGCTGTACCCTGTTTTCGGAAATGTACCCTTATCTGACGGGAAATTAGGCCCTTTCATCAATCATATCCCCCGCAGGAATCTTCCCAACTCCTCTTCCCCTCCAACCATGGGATACCAAACGGCGAATCTTCCCGCCCAATAACAACCATGGCAACGGGGCAGGAATCAGTTTCCGCCCCTAACACCGCGTGGACTACTGCATGCTGCAGTCTACATGCGAGATGCACGGGTCACGCTACAAAAGCGAGACCGATTCAGCATGGTTGACATGCACATGAATATGTGCATGTGTGCGTTGTGTGTTGTGTCTCAATCGCGATGTGCCCGCGGTGTGCGTGCGTGCGTTGTCTGTTGTGTCTCAATCGCGATGTGTTTCTTGCTTGAACTACTACCGCTGTAGCAGCAGCGGTCACGCTTACCAACCAACCAAGCCGACCAATCAAATCAATCCATGTAGTAAGAAGACGTCAGGCTTGAGCGGGATGAGCCGATGAACTACAACGCGAGCACTCTTTCTTCTCTCTACCGACGGGGAGGGTGATCGAGATGCACGACACAGGGTGTCCTGCTGCTAGAGTAAGGATGAGGCTCGTGTGTGCGTGGTTGATGTCAAGGGCGGGTCTGTGTTTGCTGGTCCTGCCTCTCCCCTCCACCCTCTCTGCGGGCGCGAGCTCGCCGCCAGCACAGCGCCACACGTTGGCACATGCATATGCATGTTAACCATGCTGGATCAGTCTCGCTTTCATAAGCGTGACCCGTGCATCTCGCATATAGACTGCAGCAAGCAGTAGTCCACGAGGTATTGCACGCGTGTGTGCATATTTCCAAACGGAACAATTGTGCTGGGGTATTGCCCGGCCATTATTGATATAGAGCGGAAGAGTTGATGGTTGGTGTTGTTTCGCAGGGGCGGAAACTGATTCCTGCCCCGTTGCCATGGTTGTTATTGGGCGGGAAGATTCGCCGTTTGGTATCCCATGGTTGGAGGGGAAAAAGAGTTGGGAAGGTTCCTGCGGGGGAAATGATTGATGAAAGGGCCTAATTTCCCGTCAGATAAGGGTACATTTCCGAAAACAGGGTACAGCAGTTGGTGAGAAAAGTAGTCACGGCAGGGTATACCCTGCGCCTTTTCGGACGCATCGGGGTGAAATAGGGCGCTGACCAATGATATAAGTGCATGTACTGCTGTTGATGACTGTGTACCCAGGTGTGTCGCTTTTCGACCAGTGTATACCCTCTTGTGTCGTTTTCCCTAACAAAAAAACAAAAAAACACCCAGTGCCAAAACGAAACAAACACACCCAACATCTTACCGTCGTACCAGTAGTTACTAGGGGGAACGATTGGCCCCCCGCCCCGCAATGGGGCGAACGGCCAGAATGCGTGGGATGGCAGCTGGTCTTCGAGAGGCGAAGCAAGCAGAAGCGCCGACGAAAATTGTTGCCAAAGTAACATTTTTTGGTGTGTCGTTTTTCGTTTTTTTTTTCTCATTCTCTCAGGTTCTATGACCCAGAGGAGGGTACCGTTACCGTAGATGGGCGCGACGTCAAGGAGATCAACGTACACTGGCTGCGCTCCCAGATGGGCTACGTTGGACAGGTGCGGCAAGAACAAACTATTCCATGAACAGGGGACGATTTTGATGTACATCTATGTGATTTTTTGTCTTTGCGGTTGAGCCCTCTTATGTTTTCCGAGCAACAATGCCTTCCACTCCAACCTAAACGTGTTTGCATGTGTTAAGGGTGCGTTTTGTATTTTTGGTTTTGGAGGTAAAGAGTGTTGGACGGGGGGAGCAAGACACACGTCTGGATGTATTTCTAGTACAACCTTGCTTGCAGAGGGGAGCGGCGGGCTTCAGACGTGCCGTCGTTAACTTGAATTGCCTCGAGGACGGTTGAGGTCCTTTTAATTCGAGTATATACTTACATTGTTTTAGGGCAAGTTAGCCTGTGGCCACGGGAATCGACCGGTCAAGTGTTTGATCAGTACGGACAGATGAACGTCCTAGGTAGCGAGATCCGACCGGTATTTAATGCGAAGACAACAACAAGCTCCACCAGCAACAACAAGCTTAGACCAACAACGCTGCTGCTGCTGCTGCTGCCTCCCCGTTCACCTGACACACTCTCGCGCAGGAACCGGTGCTATTCACTGGCACCATCCGGGAGAACATCGCACGAGGCAAGCCGGGGGCATCCATGGCTGAGATCGCAAAGGCGGCCAAGTCCGCTTTCGCGCACGACTTCGTCACTTCTTTCACGGTGAGGGATCCCGCGGCGTGTTTTTATGGGGCGGGGGGGGCGCTGTAGACGCATGCCGTAGTCGGTAGACCGTTTGCCTCAATGGCGTCCCTACAATGCCGGGGCGGAGCGTTCTGCCGAGTTTCGCTACGCGTCACGAGGACGTCTGTTCCCAGAAGGTGGTGATCATCCTTGCATTGACGGGGGCGGACGGTTGGGGTATTGCTTGGTCGACTGAAACAAGTCCGTCTCTACCACGCACAGGGTGTGAACAAGAAAGCTAGGCATCCCCCCCAATAACAGGAACACACCTTCGGAAAGTTGGAACACTCCGGTTCCTCCCGTGTTTTTTTGCTTCATGCGAAAACGCAACGAATTCCTTGCTTCCACATTGTCTTTTTTGTTCTCCCGTCACCCCCCCCCCC